TGACAACAAGTTTACGAACGAAACGGCGCGTATTTGACTTAAATTGGACAAATGTGCACAAAGTTATCTCTTTTTGAAAAATCAATAAAACAAACCGAACGAGCTTCTTGCTTGACATAATATATATGCATTTATAATTGTGTATGTATATATGTGTGTGTGTGTGTGTATGTGTGTGTGTGTGTGTGTGTGTTTAATGCGCTTACTTCATGCTCTATGACATCTGTAGGCCACATAATAATGCAATTAACATAAACACGCAACGCAACTTTATCGCTGTCCTTAATGCTTTGGCAAATATAATTTCATATAAATAATATTTCTACAACAGCAGATATATGTACATATGTAGTATTACTGTTGTGTTTTACCGCCTTCTCATTAATATCAGCATTGTTAGCATAATTGTAATTTAATATTTTAATTACATAATTTGTAAACCTTCTCAATAGACTCGCTGTGTGTTTAAGGATAATGATGGACATTTGTATGTTTAATTTAATTTGGGTTTATGCAAATTACGAGTATATAAATTAGAGTCGTGTATGTGTTTCTTGTTTGTGTTTGCGCGCTTCAAATAACATGTAATGGAATTTGTAAAGGCAATAAGTAGTCTGCTTTAGAGCCCTCAAAAAATGTATGTTTTTTTAATCTATTCTTAAACTACCCAAGAATATGTCTTCAAAATTTCCTCGAGTTTTCATTTTTACAAGTCTCAGAAAATGGTGGCGCTGATAACAAAAAGAATATATGTCAGATAAAAAGTAATCAAATTGATCTAGGATTATTTAAATTACTTCTTTTTGCAATTTGAAGTGAATTTTTTTTCCAGAGAAGTGATTTTTTAAAATTTCGAATAAATTGTAGTTTTCCAAATTTTTCGATATTTTTTTAGTTCATATAGAGAGGCAATCATAAAAATTTAAAAAAAAATTTGGTGCGACTGTTTCAAATGCATCGCCGGCCTCCATTACCGGCACCGTTTGAGGAGTTTAGACTGCAGCCCTTCATAAAACTCATCACAGCATTAAAAAATTTCAATATTTTTTAATACTAAAAATTGTCTTTTAAAGCTTAAGTATAGTACATTATTTTCTGAAATATTTTTTACCGCAAAAATTTCCTTTTTTTCTAAAAAAATTGCTGAAAAAATTTTTTTTTCGGATTCTAAAGAAGACTACTGTGCTAAAACTATTTGTTATTTTCAATCTTCTCAAACTAAAGGAAAATATATAAAAAAAAAATTTAAAAGGACAAAAAGTCCTTTCTGAGAGCTCTACTATCCCCAACCATTTCCAGCAGTCAAATGGTGAATGGACAACTTTTTGCAGAGAAATGCTAGCTACGCTAATGACAACCCACTTCCCTGGGTATTCCTCAGAGCAGACTAATAACTCTCCATACAGTTCTACAGAAAATACTAATATCGTATCTGCCATAAGGTATTTATATCATAAACCGCAACAGCGTGCTTTGGGCAATGAGATCTTTCCAGTTCTTTAAATCTTCGTGTTCAGAGGACATATTTCCCGCTGAACTACAAGCAGCAACAGACATTCTGTCACCCTTATTATACTCTGCCAGAGTCTCCATAGCGCAAGTTCTCGATGTTAGGATTAAGGCCAAAGTATTCTTTATACCAAAAGGTGGAGAACCAGATACATTTGAGCATTTTAGGCCAATCAGCTTTACAGCTTGGAAATCTTAGAGAAAATGCCTGACGTCTACATGCGTTATGAGTTACACCAATTAAATCCTGGCAGAGTCGATATTAGGTGCAGAGATTGCGATTCAGATGAAAGTCCCTAAACGACGGAGATGTTATGCCAGAAGATATAAACCGATTGCCTTCAAGACACCCTTACTAAAAGGCATCGGGATCAGTAGATAGTAAGCTCACCTCAAGAAGTAAGAGAGCTTTTACTGCGATATACGCCGGACGGGTAGCAGTTGCTAAAATATCGGTACTAAGACCGCATATAGTTTATTCGCTATACAAAGCTCTAATAAGAGCCATATTATTTTACAAAGTCACCATCTGGTGGACGGCTAAACGCAATTCAGCCTATACTCGGAAGAGGGGAGCTACACCACTTCTATTTACCATTTTGAAAACACTTACTCAACAGAGGAATGAAGGGGGAATACGTAACAGTTCTGTATCAAAGACCCGCATCCATCTTCACTGATGGTGCAAAATTCGATGGCATGGCGGGCTGCGAAGTTCACTCGAAACCACTTGCAATCGACTTGAGCAAGAGACTTCCTAGTCGCTGCACGCCTCTCAAGCTGCATTAACTGCATTAATGGGATCCACTTCATGGTAACTCAACTTTAAAACAGCATCTTAGCCTATTGCAATGTATTCTGACAGTCAAGCTGCCATTCTAATCACAGCACCTTAAATGTGGGAATAAGATGTAGGGACGGGGTTGCGGGGTATTTCGGTCATTAAATGAAAAGCTCCTCATAAGAGTCAATTGGCCGTTCGCGGTCGACTTAGAATAAATTGTAGGTCCCCCTATTTGCTGGAAAAGTATCAAGGTGCACACCAAAAATCAGAGGAGGAGCTCGGCCGAAAATTGCTTCAACTATTGGCATTTGAGCCTACACTGAATGGGTATAACGTAGCGCCAATTGCCTTCTGGCCGAGGGGAAAGACCAGAGTATCTTATGCCATGCTTTTACGAGCCTAGTATTCAGATAATTATGCCTTCCCTCTACCTTCTAAGACAAAAGTAATGAATTGTATCCACACCTGTTGTCTAATAGTGCGATTTCATCATTTGAGGACCTGAGTATTCAAGTAAGCTCGCTTATCTCCTGCACAGCGCAGAAATGTGTTTTTTTATAAGAGCTATTTGGCTTTAATGAGAGTGAGAGTGTTACGAGTTCAAGATTACTGGCTTACTGACCCTCAGACTATGAAAAGAATAATTCTCTGATTATAATAAATTGCTCTTTGCCCAACTATGAGGAAGCTCTAATAGTAATTAAGGAATGGCAAAGCCACCTGCTATACAAATATGATATGAAGTTGACGCATATAGCTAAGATCTCACTTAAACCAGCATGTGGCCTCAGCGATATAGTGCAAAAGGTCTCAACTGGCGTGTAATATATATAATTGGATGGAATTAAAACCAAATAGCTGAAAAGATCCATATAAAAAGTATCAGCGTACACCAAAGTTGACTGCTTCTATACCGCTAGGACTGTGCTGTAGAGTTTTAAGCAGAATCCCAAAGTGTCTCTTCAACGCTCTCGATATCAAACGGAGTATCAGATGAGGGAAGTGTGTGTTTTCTTCAATGACGATAAAGTAAATGAGTACGATAGTGCACAAGGGCTATACGAGCAGTCCCTTATCACCATGACATTTCTATTATATAAAACATAAGTATGGCCGATAACAAACTCCGAAGAGATGGTTATACAAACAACTTTTAAACAAAAGCTTTTCCTTACTTTTTAAAGACGACAGATTTCAGAGTATTTTCAGAATTTCCACTCTTGTTTATTTGGGGTTATTATTCCAGAAGAACTTTTATCTACATTATTATATAAATATGTATTTATTTTGTGAGTAAATTCAATATTATTTCCCACAGCCGAACTAATTTTGTGTAGTCATTATTTTCATATACAGTCTTGGCCAAAAGTATTAGGCACCTCACTAAAATACAAGTATTCTCAAATGTGGCTATCAAAGTTACCATTTCTTTTTGTATGATAAGTGTCTCACATGGGTGTTTAACTGTAAATTACATTTAGTCATAAGTTACCAATCTTAAAAAAAAAACAGTTCATATATACTGAAATGCCCAAAAAGTGTGAAATTAGATACTAAGTAAAGATGGTAAGTGTCAGGTTAAGATTGCCAATTTGGTGGGATGTTCGCGGTGCGCGGTCTAATGTGCTATCAGGCGATTTGTGGAGACGAAATCCGACAATAATAAAACAAAAAGTGGAAGAAAGCGTCTAATCAGTAAACGAGAAGACCGTATGCTTATACGCGAGTCTCTCAAGGATCGCAAAAAATCTTCTTCTGCCCTTTCGGTTGAATTTAGTACACCAGTTAGTGCTCGAGCAGCTAGAAAAAGAGTTCTGGAAGCAGGTAAGGATGTAAATCCCGAAAGAAGCCGTGGCTCTCAGAAAAGAATGGGAAAAATCGCCGATACCAATATTTCACGGAAGAAGATTGGTCGAATGTACTGTAGTCTGATGAATCAAACTTCGAGGTCAGCTTAGTTAAGATCGTTTTAAAGTATTAACAGCCATAACTTCTTACACTAGAGCAATTATGAAGACATAGTACAAATCTTGTGAAAATATAATTTTTTTTCTACAGATATTTGGAATACCTGGTGTGACGTTCGTGAGGCGACGGGTTGGAGAAAAGTATCAGCCAGATTGCGTGGTACCCACTGTTTAGCATGGAGGAGGCAGCATTATGATCTGGAGCTGCATAGTTGCTGATGGTGTCGGCGAAATGTTCGCTTGCGAGGGTCGCATGGACAGTCAAGAGTACATAAATGTATTAGATGCTCTTCTTCTGCCTTCCTTAACGAGCATTTTTAGCGGTACTTATGTAGACGGGGTACAATTTCAGCGAGACAATGCTCCTTGTTTTGTTAGAGTCAGAGTCAGAGTTTCCAGATCTTAGTCCCATTGAGCACATGTGGGCTGTTTTAAAACGCAAGAGGGGCGTACGTAATTAGAAAAACTAGTTTTGGATGTTGGTCAAACTCAAAGTTTGACCTTCCGTATTACAGTACGCGATGCTAACCACGCGACTATTGCAGTCGCCATCATGATTATTTATGCACTAATTTCGTTAGTGTTTACAAATTTATTCTGTCCTTCTGATGCACCTCAGGGATTTGGTACCCTTAAGCAAATCAAGGCCTATAATTTCTCGCTCCGAGCATACTGTGTCTTCATATCGTTTTCAACTTAACACGTGAGCGGACGTGAATACTTTCTCAACTGCCGAAACAATGTCTGTATACACAATTGTTTGCTTGTTACCGTTATTAATAAACTTACCATGCACCGTGCACGGTTTCGGCATGCGCCTGATGGAAGTAACTGAGACGGAGCGTTCACACGTCGTTTGTGCAATCGCATTACTACAGAAATATTTCCAATATGGTGAACCGCTATCCGGTTCGGTGCTCTCCATGAGCTTCACTTCGGCCTCATTGTGCATACAACAGGATTTGTTGAGTGCAATGCACGCACAGACCGACATTCCGTGGACAGTTGTGGTAAGAAATCCACATCACACGAAGATTAGTTTGTCAACGACAATGATTTTGCATGAGAAACCACAATGCTATTTTGTTATAGTTGAGAATTTGGAGGATGGTGATATGGAGGATGTCTTTGAAGATTGGAAGTCGAATATAAATTGGAATCCACTCGCACAATTCGTTGTCTTTTTGGCTTCGGTCGAGGAGACGGATGAAGAGATGACCGAACTAATGATTGAAATATTACTGAACTTCATGAATAAGAAGATTTACAACGTAAATGTGATCGGGCGGAACGAAGAGAATGGTTTCTATTATGGAAAAACCGTGTTTCCCTATCATCCTGATAATAATTGTGGTAATCGTGTAATCGCTGTGGAGACCTTGGATATCTGTGATTATCAAGACGATGAAAATCCGAAAGACCCTGAGGGGGATGAGAATGAAGCGCACGACGCAGCGGACGACGCAGCGGAGTATGAATATCTTGATGAGGAAAATGGAGGTGGTGATGAGCACGACAGTGTGGAGAGTGAAGAGTATGGAAAGAAAGATGCAAAAGGAGTTACAGCTGAGGAGGAAGATTATGTGGAAAATAATAGTAAGGAAGAAGGTGTAGAAGATGATAGCTCAGGCGGTAAAAACAGACAAAGTGATAAGGATGAAAAAGAAGGAAATGTAGATGGAATTAGCAGTAATGAAGAGAACTCAATTCAAAATGGTGAAGATGTAAATAAAAACGAAGAAGGGAATGCAAGTGAAGAAGGTAATTTTACGCTAGATGGGAACGAAACAAGCGGAACACAGCATAGTAATGAGAACTGGAAGGAGTGTGAACAACAAAGTCAACGAGGAGATACAAATATTTTCCATAAATATATAAATAGTAAACAAAGAGATGGAAGTGGAGTAGACGGTGAGTATGCAGTGCAAAGAGGAGCGGAGCGAAATAGCGTAAGCCGAAGCGTCCAAGTTAAAGGAGCGAGTATGCGAAAAGCAAATTATACGCCAAAAATTGATGGAAAAAAGACGAAAAACGTGCGCCAGATAAGAGCTCTGCAGAAATATCAAAAACTAAGACATTATATACAAGACGACAAAGTTAAACAACGAATTTTCATACAAGAACTCTATCGTGGCTTATTTCTAGATAAATTTCCTAAAGACCTTAGCGGTTGTCCCGTCGTTGCAGCCTATCGGCCATGGGAACCATACATATACAAGGAACCCAAAGAAGAAACTGCAAATAGTAATCCAACAGCTGAGGAAAGCGATGAAGATGCGACAACAGAAGTTACGCAAACCGAGCCTGAGGCAAATGATACATTAAGCGTTGGAAGTGCCGAAGAAACCGATAACGATAACAATAATTATGAGGACGTCGATGCTGACACCGAAACAGAGGCGGCGAACTCATACAACGATGTCGACACAGCCGATGTGGACGTAATCGGTGTGAGCGTTGAGCTAACATCGAAATTGAGTGGCGTAGAGTATCAGCTGGCGCAGGCAATTGGCGAACGTCTACATATAACAATTGACTTTCAGGTCGAGAACACCAATCTCTATCATCTCTTTCAGCAACTCATTGATGGGTGAGTGAAATATCTTTGAACTATTTACGGGTTTTAGCATTTCAATTTTTTTTTTCTTTTTTTTTTGTTTTGGTAGCGACATTGAAATGATTATCGGTGGCATCGACGAAGATCCCAGCATTAGTCGTTTTGTTTCGAGCTCCATACCATATCATCAGGATGACCTCACTTGGTGTGTGGCACGCGCCAAGCGGAAATATAATCTCTTTAATTTCTTGCAAAGTTTTCACATTAGCACTTGGATCTTTATGCTGAGCTTTATTTTAGTTTGCTCATTGAATATTTTCATCGCACAAAAATTGCTCAATATACGGTTGACACATTTTGGTGGCTATTTAACGACCTTCGTACGCATACTCGGCATTATATTGAGTCAGTCGACACAACTCTTACATCTACCCACTTCACTGCACATCACCTTTGGCAGCACTTTCTTTTTGGCCTTAATGTTTATCAATGTTTATCAGAGTTTTCTTGTGAGCACTTTGACGACACCGAGGTCGCTCTATCAAATCAGCCATTTAGAGGAGATTTATCGCAATCGAATGACAGTTACCGGTAGTGTGGAGAACGTGCGGCATCTCAATAAGGATGGTGAGGTCTGTACAATTTATTTCACACCACATACCAAGTGCCTTGTATGACCTCAAATACCATTCTTGTATTCAATACTCTTCCTCAGATCTTCAAATATATACGCGAAAAGTTCCAAATGTGTTACAACATCGTAGATTGTCTCAATGACGCCGCCACCGATAATGAGGGTCTAGCTGTCGCGGTCTCCCGTCAACATTTCCTCTACAATCCACGCATCAAACGTGATCAACTTTATTGTTTCGATCGCAATGAGAATCTTTACGTTTATTTGGTTACGATGCTGCTGCCGAAGAAATTTCATCTATTACATAAAATCAATCCCGTCATACAGCACATAATCGAGTCGGGTCACATGCAGAAATGGGCACGTGAATTGGACTTGAAACGTAGAATTCGTGAGGAAATAGAACGCGCACGAAAAGTTCATGTGAAGAGTCTAACAGTCGAACAAGTTGCCGGTAGTTTTGCGCTGCACGCCATGCTCTCCACGTTGGCTCTGCTGATTTTTTTGCTTGAATGTTGTACTCACTGGTTGGTGGTGAAGCGGCGCACACGTTTGAGACTGTTTAGAATGCTACACCGTAAATTCAAGTCGAAGTAAACAAGGAAGAGTGAGAGAGTTGCTGTTCGAATACGGCTCAGAATTTTAGATTAAATTGATCCTTTTGTTTTGAATAAGTTTTTGAAAATAAAAATATCGTTATTTAGTTGGGAGAAACCTCTTTAAGATAGGATGCAGAACTCTTTTATGAAATTATCTAGTATCATTATGCAGCGAATCCTGGGTTGACGCTGAGGTTAGCTCGCTGCCGATTTTGCAGGGCTCCTAAAGGTAAAAGAGGTCATCGAAGCTGCTACATCAGCGTAGGAGGAATACTTTCTCGGTGATTCATCTCTAGATAGGTCTAAGAGCTTATAAAGACGAAATGTAGTATCTCATCGCGATTTTTTCAAAGAGAGTAGCTCCACGCCACCTTTAAATACCTGTGTACTCATATGTTCATGAAGGCGGGAGGTAGTACCTCACAGCCGGTTGCGGGGTGTAGATTCTCCCACTTCTAAAAATAAGTAGTGCCACCAGGTGGATAGAATATACTCCTTCTATTGTAGATACTCGCCGCCTCCAAATACCTGAGCATTTTCTATAAAGGAGAAAGAGTGAAGAGAGTAATGCCTCGTCTATTCGCGTTACTGGAGTGGTCGACTCAGGTGTCCTTCTGGTACTTTCCTCATTTTATTTACTTCATTGCCATGCAATACTGCTCAACCTGTCTAATTATGAGCAACTCCCAGCTTCTTTAATGATTCTTTATCTGCAATTCGAGAACAAAAGCTATTCTAATGCTAGCAAGTTGGCTGGTATGACGGTGAAAAGTCTTACTCGCGGATTTCATGGGATAAACACTCAAATAAAAGAGGAACCTTTGTTCAGCGAGAAGCCGCTACATTCTCAAAAAGTCACTCTTTGGTGTGCTCTGTTCTCTCAGTCATTGGTCCATATGAGTGCTCTCGAGCAGAAAACCACCCGGCAATCTGTTCAGATATCAGCTTTTCGGCATCGTACTTTTCTTGTACTTGTTGACGGCCGTTCTTTGACACACAGAGGCGGGTGCGTCTCTTCGCAGCAACAAGATAGTGGTCAGAATCGATGTTGGGTCCTCGGAGTGTACGCACATCAAGAACCCTGGAGACATGTCTTTCGTCTTTCACAATATGATCGATCTGTTTTTTTTCGATTAGAGGACATCCAAGTAGCTTGGTGGATCTTTTTGTGCTCGAATCTAGTATTACAGACAACTATATTTCGGCCCAGTCGTTCAACCTCAATCTATTAGGGAATGTTTCGTTGTGGAAACTGAATTTTCCTTGCTTGCCCACCGTGGCATTCAAATCGCCAAGCACTTTATTGACATCGTGCCGCGGGCAGCGCTCATAAGTGTGCTCCAGGTGCTCATAAAAGGCGTCTTTGTTCAACTCGCCCGTGTCTGCCTTCGGCGCGTGGACATAAATCAGGGATATGTTGAAAAATTTTGCTATGATGCGGTTTCTGGCGGGACGCTCATCTACCGCAGTGAATGCCAGTACTCGGCGGCGGAGTCTCTCTCTCCCATCACAAAACCGACACCAAATTTGCGCTGCTTTATATGGTCGCTGTAGAAAATGTCACAACGACTTACCCGCTTTCGTCCTTGGCTCACCCATAGCACTGCTTGGACCTTTATTCTTACGAGGACATCAACCACCTGGGCAGCGGCACCTTCCCAATTAAGGGATCTCAAAATACAATTTGACCTCAAATTTCACAGTTCTGTGTCTAACCCTTGGACTCTCATAATTTATAAACGTTTTATTGTGTCTAAATATATTTATTAAATTTAAAATCCTACTGCGTAACGTCAACGCCATAAAATATTCATATCCATACATATACTTTATTTATTTATGTATTTCAATATTGTCGCCTGAAATTCTATTAACAAATATATTTATTTTCCGATATTAATATCAATAAATTTTCAAAGCTCGATAATGTTTTACCACCCATACAAATACACATACGTAACGGAAATATTGAAATTTATGAATTAATTCGTTGTTTTTCCTCTTGTTATTTATTATTTTTTATAGTATTTTTGTGAAATAACTGCACAACACCTTAAGTTCGTCTTCCTCTCGCCTCGCGCTAAGCACGAATTCGCATTCATCATTGTACGCACATGCCGATAACATTCACATGCAAGTTATGGCATTTGCATTCGAGTGAATTGTGTGCTCAGGAACAATCCTCGCAGCAATTCCGGTCTGCCATACCATACCGCACCAGTGCCAGTAGATCGGAATGCCTGCCCAGTGCCATGCGTTGTGCTTATGTATTTACATGCTTTCTTGGCATCCGTTTGGTATCGTTGGCAAATCGTAAATCTTCCTACTGAAATGGGTAACGATGACAAAAATGTACAACAACAACAACATCAACACCACCAAGCACAAGTACCATAGCCGCTATGAAGAAAGGTATGTCGTAACATATATACATACGTATGTACGGCTGTGCTTAACATTACTGCAAGGACAATGACAATGAAAGGCAGTGCGGGAATGAGCCCAACACAAGGCGCAGAAAACAAGCAAGGGAAGTATACTATAGTTGACGTACGCATACATTTATATATTACATTTACATACATATATATATACATACATACAACGTTCCGAGCAGTCATTTTTACGCGCTTTTGCCTACGCATTTTCCAGTTCCGGTAAGGTGAAATGCGTAAAGTTGAAGATTTGAGTGTCTTTTGTGCGTCTTCGGCGGCAATCAACAACACTTCTCACACACTGGTGTGTGTGTATGTGTGTGTATGTGGAAATGCATGAAAATAATTTTGTTATCGCAAGGAAATTTTATTTTTATAATTTTTTTTTCTTTTATTATAATATTTTATTTTTATTTTATTTTCCCATTTTCCCCACAACCTTCCGTTTTCATTTTCACAAATTCATATTGTTGTTGTTGTAGCCGCAAAAATATTCCCCCAAAGTAGTTTATGGGGACGGTCTTTGGCCGCATAAAAATCTAGGATATTCCGGTGAAAAAACCCAAGTTTCGCGGAAACTTTTGGATCGAATGGCAGTCCGCAATGCTAACCACTCGGCTACTGCGGCCGCCCATCACTCGCAGAGGTGGACATTCCCTGCCGATAGACAGGCATTACCGCTGGAAAATTCTTGATCTCTTACTCCGCAGAGGTTTCATAAAAACTTTCTAAACTATGGTGCGATCTGGACTCCTGCAAAGCAAACATTTGGAGACTTGTCAATATTGGAAGGAGGATAACATCTACTCTTGGTGAAGGAACGTGACGAGCTTCGGACTTGGCACATAAGAAATCAGCTCCAATGAAAATTCCATTACAGAGAAATTCCAGCTCTGTTGACAGCCACAGCAAAGGTACTCAGTGATAATACTTGTAGCGATTTGGAGAAGTCAAGTATTTAGAAAACGGAATGAATGACATTGGAAGTTAGACATAAACGAACTATACAAGGAGACTCTAATGGGGACAAACAGATGTTGCTGGAGGGACTATTGTAGTGAAATGGAAAGTATAACAGAGACGGCTAGAGTAGGATCTGACCTCTCTAGATCGCTCAATCCCATGGGATTTCAATACATGCAAAATAGTTTTTGGATAAAGGCTCTCGGTCGCAATAGCCGAGTACGTACTGCCGGGGTTCAAGTTCTAAAGAGAAACAGTAGGCTCTTAAATGTGTGCTCTCCTCGTCATTTAAGAAGAATCGATTTTATTTAGGTTCAATACATAAATTCTCAATGTGGAGCTGCGCTACAGCCTGCCAGTGTACGCAAGGTGAGAGATTAACATGCACAATCAGTTGTACTGATAAAGAGAGGAAAGGTGTTGATTCGCGCTTTGCTAAAAGGTCTGAAGCCCTTGTTCAGATTCAAACCAGATAATTTACAATGATAATGGAGAAGAAAGACCGTTCCCTCTAAAAGGTAAAGTAAAGCCACTTTCAGTTCAAAGTTATTCATTCCAAGATCCCACTTGAACACCAGCAAGGATGCAAAAATACTTGCTTATGATGATATTGGCGCTCTTGTAGCAGGCAAAGCTAAGCGATTTCTTCGAGGTTATGTCAAAAGACTTACTCCAGAATAGAGCTGTTTCGCTAAGTTCGGACGAGATGAAAATGGGCTTTTCGAGGAGCTATTTTAGTGGACATACGAAGAAGTGGTTAGGTTGTGCGAGGACTCATTGCATGAACGACATTTATTGGAATTCTACTAGATTATCCAGATCTTACTGGTTTCCCTATTACTTGGGCTGCGTGAGGTAATTGACGCTATTTAGAAGTAGAAAATAAGTAAATGTATTGACCGACTCTATGAATATGGCGTTTTTGGACTGTCGGTAGTCCAACTAGCTAACTTCAGCAAACTTCAGCCGGGAGCCACTCCGTCACATTTAGATTAGGAGTTCGTTTAAGTGTAATTATTGCATCTGTTCACCAGAGGTGCGGCTACAAACGATCGTCGGTCTTGAAGTAAGCGTCTCAATAAATATATACGTATGTCCCAACAAACATATCCTCTTCCTGGCCATAATATGTGCTAAGTTTTGAGCCCACCACGTACAAACTAGCTCCGATGTGGACTTAACAAAGTCTCGGTTGAAGTTCTCCTTGTTTGTTTGGCACCGGATTGTACCGAAAAATAGCCTAAAACCGCGGTAGCCGAGTGGTTGGCATTGCGTACTGCCATTCGGAAGGCCGGAAGTTAAATTTTCCAAATGAGGTTGGCCCTCGGCAGGGAATTTCAATACCTCCGAGTGTACTTCTGACACGAAATAAAGGCTGCTCATAAAAAATCATCAGCCGAGGGGAGGAGCTCGGCCGAATATCGGTTCAGCGATTAAGAAGCGCCAAAAAAGTTTAATGTAGTTAAAAATAAAGTAGTTAAAATTAAATTACTTGTTCCATGCTCTCTTCTGACTTCAACATTTCCTCAGCTTTATTCAAGTACTCCAAAAACTGCTTACATATATACATATTTTTATTTATTACTCTCTTCGCCATAAATCTGATTATTCCTTTGTTAATTTGCGCACGCCTTGACGCAATCGATTTCACCAGCTGAGCCGGTGTATTCATAAGCCAACGCTTGCCTGCCTTACCACAGACGATAAAAGAAAATCCCGCTTCATTGCTTTCACTTTCCTCGCGCATTCCCTTTGCTTTTACGCATTACGCGACTCACTTTTCATCTCGCATATTGTTTGTGATATTCTTAACTAAGGATTTACAGTGATTTAAACATTCTCACAGCAGGAATTGAACACTTTCCGCTGAATGTCCTTCACAGTATTTACCGACGGATTACCCGTGCTGTGTTTCAGTATTTGTCACTGATTCACTTTATTTACTTATTTTGTATTTATTGGTGTTCGTGTATTGTTGTAAATTAAAAATATTCAACCGATGTCTACGGCGGAAGTCAAAGAGGCTGAATTGAGCAATAAATAAAAATAAAATCGGCTGGGATTAGCAATTTGTAAATTTTGCAAGCATATTTTAGGGCGCACTCACTCTAACCAATTTTATTTTTATGTTCTGGTTTTTGGTTACTCCCAGTGGTAGGCGGAGTGTTCTTGCAAGTACACGGTGACAGGACCTTTTCCAGTCAAAGTAAGATCTTATTAAATAAGATAGCTCGAGCAGAGAAGAAAATAGGTTAAGTGGAAAAGATTACGAGTTAAACTTTATACCCTTGGAATGTGACATTTTCTTAAAAAAAAAAATCAGCCCAGTACCGCTGTACTAATTCCTCTGTAAAAGCTCCATCCTAAAGTGAGATGCGTAATCCAGTGATTGCCTTGGCTACGTTCAAAGTCATTGGCTCCAATAGCTGGACTTACAGACCTCTAACCAAGAATGAATTTGGTGGCTATTCTGTGCAAAATGTATATGTGCTTAGACTAGACTGCAAGACTACTATGTGGAAAAGGTACAATTGACAAAACCGACGGCCGAAAGCCAAATATGATAATGATCTAGAAGACATGTAGGAACAGCTTACTGATTTTACTCTACACCGTAGTTGCCTCTAACGTGTAATCCATGCTATCCATTCAATCCATTTGCTGGCATACAGGAAGATTCTTTACGAAATGTTCTCATAAGCGAACTATCAATTACCGAGATCTAAGACATGCTGTAATTGTGTCGTTGCTACTCTTGTAGTAAGATATTATAATTATTACTCAGGAATGACAGTTCTTGGCCGAATAAAAATCCGGTTCGGTCTGATATAACTTTACCGCTTGTGAATTATTCAACAACTTCCCAAAGATTATCGCTCTTTTTCAGTCGATATTCCTATCTATAACAGTAGTTTCATTTAAAAAAAAAAATATTTGCCCACATCGATATTTTGATCTTCAAATTCGAAAAATACGCTTATATCGATTGTCTCAGCAAACCTTTCAGTTCTAATTTATAAACGTCAAGCATTGGAATGCAGCCCTGCACTGACATTTATGAAATTGTTTTTTTGTCATTTTTATTTATTTTGCAACTTCTATTCAGAATGAAACAATTTATTAAAATTAAATATTTTCTTAATTAAAAATTCAAATACGAAATAATTTATATTTTCAGTTTAATTAAGTGAGTTTTCTTGTTACTGCTGGTATTTATTTCGTAGCGAAACGCCTAGAATTTGTTAACTGTGTATTTGTCAAAAGAAAATGGAGCCTTCAGACATCACGCTGCAATTGGGCCAATTACTCTTGGTTCAAACAACTACGGAATTATTGACTGGAATACTAAAATTTGTTGATCCTAAACGCAAAATAATAGAATTAGAAAATGCTTATGATCAACGCTCAAATTGTCAATATACCTCGCCACAGATTTTGAACTTTCCACAAATTAAAAAACTTCAAATTATACGAGATAATACGCTACCAAATAGTAGAAATAGTTCCAGTTCCACAACACCAAGCGCATCTGAAATTGACCCGGAAAGTCCAACCAGTTACAAAACAGCATTAAAATCGTTAGCATCAACACCTGAAAGCAAACAATCGCCACAGCAGGATAGTGATGTTTCGTTAAGTAGTACTGAATTGGAATTGATACACGGGCAATTAAATGCGATTGTTTGCATTACACAAACTGATCAGAAATATCACAAAGCATTAGCAGATATACGCGTACAGCCCGTTGTTGCGCTTGTCATGGAACCTGTGGATTACGGTAGGGCGCAACGTACTTCAGTGCTAATTATATCCACATTCCAAACCGTATACATATTCGATATTATTGCGCTGGGTAATATATTTCGCGAAATTAAACAGCTCCTAGAGGCAGAGCAACCACGTAAAGCGGTACATTACAGTCATAGACTAGTTGATCATCTGAAAAATCGGCACGATGTTAATTTAGGTGGAATATTCGATACTTTTGTAGCAATCTCCATTGTACGTGGTATTAAAGAGCCAATGACACTTATAGAAGCAGTAGAACAAACATTTAATATAACGCACCTTTATTTTCAACCTGGTGCAGAGAGCAACGTAAGTTAATAGCATAGATTATTTATCAAAATTTAATGTTCTCTTTTCATTTACAGCATAATATGGATCCTTACAAACGGCCACTAAACGCTGACTTTCGCCAAGTACTAGCAAAGAAAGCTATCTTTCAATTAAAATTGCATGAACATCTACTCCACAAACATATGCTGAAAAACTTTTACAATCAATGCAATATTTTTTCGCATACCTTTTGCGAAAAAGAAGATGTTACAACTCCGTTGGAAATGCAACGTAAGAGTCGTGCGGGATTTCAACATATAAAACGTTCGACAAATGATTTTGCATTCAACTTCAATGGGTTGAAGTAAATTCACAAAACAAATCCACTAGATTAAAAGGAAACTATTTGTGGTATGAATTTGGTGTACATTTAAATTTAATTTAGGCAACTTTAACATAAATTTAGATTGCCAACAACGCTTACAAGTGCCATTTATGTATGTACGTTATACCAAGTTGAAATATGTGTAAAAAAGTGCGGAGGGTTCAAAGAATGTAAAAATTAACTTCAGATAATGTGAGTGCTTTATTCTACGAATCATATGATTGATAAACAATATCAAAAATCGATATTGGCAATTTTATAATTGTTAAGCAAAATATTTGCTGCTTACCTCAACCTCATTTAAAAAAAATATTAATTTAGAAACAACTGTTAATTAAATCGTCTAAATGAACAACACAAAAGAATATCGATTTAATTTAAAAGTACAATTTTTTTTTTGTTATTCCGAAATATTTGGCATGTATTTGTGTATGAATTTTAAATTGTAAACTAAAATATGTACTCAACAAATTAAAAAAAAAAATATATATATATATACATGAAATTCTTGTAAAGTGATAATATCATTAAGCTAAAATGAAAATTAGGCGTATAATGTCAAAAAAAAATTTTAGTATCAATTTTATAGCGTGTAAAAATATTTTCCTTTATTATCATTTCGATACCCGCAGAGATTTATCGACTCGTGCTCGAGCCATAGATACTTTGCAGCTATACCTAGCTTATAAATATCTTTACAAATCGTCACATTTAGGTTTCAAGTGAAGAATGTTTGAAAAGCGTTTGTTTCCATTTAAGCGAAGTCAGACTAAGCATGCTTTGAAGTAGAATAAAATCTCATCTAAAAATGAAAATGAACTCAACAGTGGTATTTATTAATAATAAACACACCCGCACTCCTCCTAACGCACTTAATACTTTTTATACACATTGAAATATTTATTTAAGTACATACATACCTGATTTATTTGAATTTGTTTAATTTTTTTTTTGTTAAGTTAAAATTATCTTAAATTTTTATATCAAATATAATTGGATTTAATCTAAAGTTGTAAGCAAAAACTTAGAATATTTATGTATATAAAACATTAGCTGAAATATGTTTGAATTAAATAAATTTTGTATAACATTTAGTAAATTTTGTAATTTTCTTTACCAATTGAATTACAACAATCAATTCGAATTTACCTCATTTTGACTCTTGCTAAAATATCTACCTGCATAGAGTCTAATTGTCTAGTATTAGTTGCCTTGAGTACATTTAACGGAAGATTTCGCTGCCACCGGATATAAATTAGCGGATGTTAGGCCTTGGTTCATGGAATGGGTCAAAAGGTGCATTTGTCTCAATTAAACTTATAACACGTGAGTGATCAAAGCGATTTGAGGATTCTAATGCCGAGAATCGTGAGGTCAAATCTAATTATGGGTTAATTTCGAATAATTACTTGCATAACTGCAATAATATTGCTTTTAATGAAGCTCTTGGAAGGAAATCACATCAATCACAACATTCAACCGCTTCAATCATGACATACAATGCAACCCTGAAACATATGTTTTCCAAAACAAAAATATAAAATATTTCCAATTTCCTATTGACAACTATTCGCTTTTGTTTGTTTACTTTTACGGGAGTATATATTTTTAGAGGTGACAATTGATTTTAAATAAAAAGAAGAAGTATAAAAATTGATTGTACGCATTCGAATGCCGTGCACAAAATGAGTGGAATTCTAGCCATCACAGATATTTTTGAATCATTCGATAATGTCTATCTACTGAGCACTGTCACCATGCTAGCTGCTGTATTACTGGCATTTTACATTTCTAATGTGGTGAAGGACATTGGGGTAATCGCAATCCAGTGTTATGTATACATATACAGTGGTTTAATAAAGTATTTATGTAGATGAGTAGTACTCCGGCCGAGCAAAAAGTGGAAAACCAATCTAATACAACAACAGTTGATGAAACACTATATGATACAAGTGGCGATGAAGAATTCGACACCGACAATCCCTTGGGTGATGGTTTGGTGGGTAAAATGAAATCAGCGCGTCTCAAAGAGTTGGAGGCGCAATTGACGCACGATCAATTGGAGGAAGAACGTCGGTGAGTATTTGAAATGCAAGAGTTGAAGATGAGTATATAAGCATAAATCTGAATTATTCATGACAAATACATTTTAGAATTGAACGGGAACAACTGGCCGCTATTTTTGAGCTCTTAAAGAAGCAAGAGGCCGATTTAAATGTGAAAGAAATTGATGAGCGTGAATTGGTTGCCCAGCTAAATCTGTATCGTTGAATGTGCGTAATGAGAAACTGGAAATTAAATGCTTTAAGAAGCTCCACTGCATAAAGTGTCTGCAGCAATAAATATATTTAAGTGAAATGTTCGTGTGTCTAGTCTAGAAATCGTTCCAAACATTGTGTACATTTTTGGCAAATTTCAAGGTCAAGTTATTTAGATGTTCAGTTTAAGTAAATAAAACAAAAAAAGGCATATTTATTTATATAAAGGAATGTTATTTTATTTAAGAAATTATTTATATTATTAATTAATCACTTTTTACTAAAATACATAATACATCATGCACTCATTGCAATTAAGCCTTTATGACAAGCGTTAAACTTTCATCCAAGAGTAAACAACGTTTGCCAACATAGTCTGTATTGAGCTCCCAATAGGACGCTGCGTCATCATCGCCCACAACATCATCTTCATCGTCCACCCAACGTTGTTCATCGGCGTATACAGCGAACGGCTGTGCATCGGTGTCAGTTAAAGCGAATTCCGCGATGCTACGCACCTGTTGCGGTTTGGCTATAATCTCTACCACAGCGTGAGACGGTTGTGCGCCTAGACATGTTGTAGTTTCGTAGAGATTACGCAGTTGCACGAAATGTTGGCCAGCAACTAAACGCTGAGCATCGTCCTTCCCAGCTAGTTTAACGTGAGCAGCCCAATTCAAAATGACAGTTGTATGTGGATCTGTGCTCAAAACAGCGCTATTGAATTCATCGGTAGTGATATTCGTATTGAAATATAAAGTCTCATGTTTTGCCAAAAAACCATACATTTCATGTACTGATGGTATGTGTTGATGTGCCTTATCAGCGTTAATTGAGGGTACAATGTTGACAAAAGAAACACGCTCATAAAGCAGCTTAGCCGGTGGAGACGTGAATTTGTTGTTATTACGTTCGAGACGACATTGGAAGTTCATCGATTTACCCAAGGGTAGATAGCGTGCTAAAGAAAGAAAAGAGAGAGAGAGAGAGAGAGTATGAAAAAAAATATTAAAAAAAATTTATTTAATGTCAAGCAAACTTACCTCCATCACCGCCAGTTGCAATTTCCATTTGATTGGTTACTGTCATATGGTTAAGACACAACTGTTAGTACAAATAATTAAAAGTTTTACCAAATTTAACTTACTATAAAGCTTATTCCTATTAATATTATGATCTCCGCTAAAAATACCTAGCGAAGTGACATACATATCGCTGGCGGTGAATACTTTTGCATTACTTTCATTCTTAATCGCTACATCGAGCCCCAATTCACCTGACAGTGTATTGCTTATCACACATGTCACCGCGCTGAGCAGACACTCGTGTACTTGGAACTTCCAATTATGACGTACCAGACGATATTTGATGGCTGCGCTCGTGCCATCAGGCAGTGCATACAAAAACAGTAAGCGCAAAGTGAAATCACCCTTTTGGTAAGGCGCTTGTATATGCAGAGGCACAGTTGCGCACTCCTGCGGCTTTAAACTGACCGAGTTTTCATGTTTCAGCAAACGAATTACACGCTGGCGCCGTATTTCACGATCTTTTGAAAGCTTTTCGTTAGTGAGATCCTTTACAGCTAAAAAGAGAAACAATTTTTTTTTATTTAAGCAAAAAGTTGTATAAAAATATTTATATACTTTTGAGTATTGACAACGGCACTTCCGTATCGGCATCTGTCAATGTCAGCCAACGTGGTTGATCGCAGCATAGGTAAATATCCTCAATGGGTACGATACCAGAATTGCGCAGCGTCATTGTTACAGGCAGTATTTCGCCAGCTATTATATTTGTCGGTAACTGTGAGAAACTAACAGCCATTGACGGCACAGCTGGCGTTATTTTGATATTCAATTTGTTATCCATTAGCAATTGTGTGGTTTGTTTACTTTTCACTCGCACTTGTTGCGCTTCAAATTGCAACATACCCTGCAGACAGGCAGTGGGTTCAGCTGTGAGCACCACTTCTCCCACCATACCAATAATATTTAACAAACCCGTTAATTTTGGTGTAATTTTGAAGAAAATCGTATGTTCACAACGCTCATCCAAGACAACGGCGGGTATGCATTGAGTTTTAATGGCGGCAGCAACAGCCGCTTTGCCTGAAATAAACAGAAAATTGCTGTTTCAAGAAATATTGAGAAAATTTTTATTTGACTTACTTGAGCTCTCCTCAGTGTGACTGTATATTGATTCATTCGAAAGCACTTCGCCATTATCCAATTGTAATTTCCAAAGTAAATCAATGCCATTTAAGGTAATACTACATTTGACTGTGTTAAATACCGTTACCGAGATTTCAATTGGTTCTGTGAAGTTCAAAAAAAAAAAATTTATATATATATTTTTACAAAAGTTCAATATTTCCAATTAGTTACCGCCTTGCACCGCTAGTGGTTGCTCTAACGCTGGATATTCTTTAGAGTAGAGGAAACGTGTCGGTTTGAATACCAAAGCTTTCTTCGGATCTGCAGTGGTAACAAGCATCTCTTCCATTTTATGCCATACGGTTTCATCAGCGCAATCAGCCTAAAATTATGTGAATACTTTTAGTATATATTTAACACATTCAATCATTGAGCAAACCTTTATGTCAATACCGCTAGCCGATACCTGCTGCCCGCTAACCAACGTATTGGGCGTTGAGAGTAAAACACGTATAGAATTTTGCTCGACTTGCGGCAGCGCCAGTGATAAGAGACCCAATTCCGTATTACGTTTAATAAGTTCCTTATAGTGAAAAATAGGAAATGAAACTAAATAATATAATCTGATAAAAAAAAATACCCACCGTATGCATTTGTATGTATTCTTTGAGAAAAATGATCTGCTGTTGTGCACTCTGCTGACTGTCTGGATGTAGCAAATGCGCATACGAAACACTTGCCTCCTCCAAACGCTTTAACGCGCATGCCTGCTTAGCCATTGTATATTGTATATGATCCTCTGCCAAACTCCAACCGCGACTTTCGAAAACATGATATGCTTGCTGATAACAGCGATGTGCGTGTTTACGTTGGCCAGCACGCGAATAACGATTGCCAGCGAGTACAATATTAAAAGCATATTTTCGATACATCGAAGGATAAGTGGTTAAATAGCAATAGGAAGCTTGTTCTAGCAACAATGCTGAACGTAAATCTGCATCCTCGCTAGTCATGCGTATAAGTTGATTGGCCGCTTCACCATGCAGACGTGATGTACGCAAACATTCCATGCTCAGTAATGTGGCACGTGTTGCAAATTGTTGCAATCTAGCGGATTATGAAATAAAAGAAAATTAGTCATGTAAATGTAAATTTATATAATATTCATACTTGCAAACATTTAAATAGATTTTAATTGCCTCCTCCATGTAATCAAATGTCTTACGATATGCCGTGCCAAGCATAAATGCCGAAACAGCGGCCATTTCGAGTGCACCAGCATAATACTGCCAAGCGGAGTCGGCATTAAAATCACGTTTTGCTTGATGATAAGCCTTAAAATATTATACAGGCATTAACATGATATATACATTGTTATTGCTTTAAAATAGACTTTTTAATACCTGAAAAGCCAAATTGTAATGTCCAAACATAAAGTAGAGATCACCGAGTTTGCGCGTTTGCAATTCAGACGACTCATGTGTGTAACTGCGGGTAGAAAATATTTAATAAGTATTTTACAAACTAACTTTAGTGTTTGCTACGCACATTACAGCATTTTGGTTGACCGCATTCGATGTCGGTTTACTGCTAAATAAGCGTTTAGTAGCACTAAGCAATGATTTACTAACACCCTTTTTGTTCGTAATCTAAAATAATAATTTAATAATTCAAAATGAATTTCAGAACCAAATAATTTAGGCTTACCGCCTCTGCCAGTACGGCAACCATTTGCTCAGCGTATGGTATTAGCGCTCGCACGGTGTAGTCTTGCACGAAATGACGTAAATTCTCCACATCCATCGCATTCAGACAGGCGCCATGCACAACTGTCTCACCGCCATCTGGTTCGGTTGCCCAAACATTAGCGTTTATGTTTTGTGAAGCGATACTTTCACTGCTAATAGAAAATTTTGAGCTCTGCAAGTAAATAAAAGGTTAACGTAAATTTTTAAAAGAATTATAAATAATTCATAGGCTTTTACAATTGCTTCGGTAGCATTTTCTTGCACTGGACTTAGTGGATGTATAATAGCTACATCACTGCCACTATCGGTGGTGGATATAGCATCGCTCATATTAGACATTTGTAAATTGGGCATGGAAATCATGGACATGGCATCTTGTGGTGTCTTTGGCCCACTTAATTGATCAACTGGTAATTCCTGAAATTATATAGATTAGAGCAGTTAAAAGCTTATATATAATTATATAATATTATTTTCCACTTGAAACTACATTTTTGGGTTGTCGCTTGATATAAGCTGTCCAATAGTCTGGCACCTCACCAGTAACTCCAGCATCTAATGAGTTAACTTGCACCAGGAAACATTTATTATCACCAAATGTTGACTTTAACAATTCATAACCTTGTTGTGCTCTGTAATTGCAATAAATAAATAATTTAAAAGATTTGCAAGCTAAAATTTCGAGGCATTCATTTCTAACTTTGATATGTCGCCTTGTGAGCCTTCATGTAGTACGACATAACTATTCAACACATTGGTGGGATTGAACCATTTTGGTAGTTTTTGTGGTGTTACACTTTGCATTTGATGTACGCGTTGGGTAAGCTTTTGTGCGCTTTCGATAATATTCGGATCACTACTACTCAGCACGATAAGGCAACTTAGAAAATGTCGTGTAAACTCATGGTCAGCAGGAAATTGTACGGTTAGAAACGTTTCACGCCAATGTTCGAACCATGGTTCTGAAGTTGGTATTTTTAATTTCAAAGTGCCTGAAGTAATATAATGTAACAAGTAGAATCATACCTTCATATACATATGTATATTGTAAGTGCATTTATTACCAATATTAACGGTTTTTGTTTCATCATTATGCGCGTTTGTCACTGCTTCATTTAGCATTTTCCGTGCCAAGACTGTCTGTGGCGGACGCCAATCCACATCGCAAAAATTTAGTCGCAAACCTTTGATGGAGACACACGTATCGGATACGTCGCGGAATTGCGCTGCGTCATTTGTAATAAATTAATTTCTTCGAATGTAATATACAATATTGCTTACCATCGTTTAATAGTTTAGAAAATGGTTGCAACATTTCCATAAAAGACAGATTATTGCGTGCGCAAACTTCGTTAGCCAGCGGACTGCAAATCACACCCACAAGTGGTGAAAACATATTCTGGACTATCTCTCGGGCATTATACTTGTGCCCAGTTATGTGAATCATTGTGGTGGAGCAAAAGTTACTATTCCTTTTCAAAGAATATTGACTTTTCTTTGTTAGAATAATAGAAAAACAAAAATTTTAATGAAGCTTTCGAGGACACAAACACAATTGAACAGCTGTTTTGCCAGCGTATAACAGGTGTAAAATAACAAAAGCCATTCTTTGCACAGAGTGCACTTTATGAACATAAATAGAAATGTGAAGGTGGGCCTAGAAAACTTAGAGAAGTAAATTGCTGCACTCGTAAATTAAAAACCAATTTGCAAATTAAAGTAAATTATTAGATATTAGTAGGCTGTATTAATTTTAATAGACTATGGACACGCGCTCAAAGCTGAATGAATAAAAATCAGCCAGTGGATTCTTCTCTTAGCAGTTAGGCTCCAATTGGAAATATCAAGAAACTTATATGACGTTCTTTGGTATAAGTCTTGTCGCTTCTTATTCACATACATTCTTCGGTTAAAGGGCAAATAATTAAAATGCTGATAATCGAGTTTTTAAAACATCAGCTGATTTTTAATTCACCGATTTTTCGAAACTATGATTAACCGGCAGCTCTCGTGATGCGTTAACTTTCCATTGGAATTTGTTTGGCGGGAAAGTCAGAGGCAATTGGAAATGTCATCGTTTATTGTGCTTGTGAAGAAATTTCAGCAGAAACAATTACGAATAGAAGATCAGTAAAAATCGTGTATAAATTGATTAAAATCATATTTATATTAAAAAATAAACGTGCATTTAATTTTGACGAACAATAAATTAATTGAATTAGTGACTTTAAAGCATTCATTGTCACTACACCGCCTATAAACGCGATGGCAAAAGTACACATTACAAACGTGGTTGTTTTAGACAATCCAAGCAGTTTCTTCAATCCCTTTCAATTTGAGTTAACTTTCGAGTGCATCGAAGAATTGAAAGAGGATTTAGAATGGAAAATGATATATGTCGGCTCAGCCGAGTCAGAAGAGCACGATCAAGTATTGGACACAATATATGTAGGCCCGGTGCCAGAGGGTCGTCACATATTTGTTTTTCAAGCGGATCCCCCAGATGTAACGAAAATTCCAGAACAAGATGCTGTTGGCGTGACAATAGTTTTACTTACTTGCTCATATCGAGGACAGGAATTTGTACGTGTTGGTTATTTCATCAACAACGACTATGCTGATCCAGAAATGCGTGAAAACCCTCCACCAAAACCATTGTTTGATAAACTTACGCGTAATATATTGGCAACTAAACCTCGCATTACCCGCTTCAAAATCAACTGGGATGACACACCAACGAATGGTTTGTTAAACGGCAACGGTCAACTACATACGCATTCAATGGATGATATGGATGATGGCGCTTCCACATCAGTATCAGCGAGAGCAATGAATGGTAATGGGTATAATGGTGCTGCCGGTGAGTCTATGGATGCACCAGAGGCAGCGTGTGATGATAACAGCCTGAATATGCCAATTGAAAATGGTGTTAATGCACTCAATGAGAACTCAAATTCGCTTGCCATGGAGTGCTAGGAATATTTTTTTTTATTTTGCCAGCATCAGCGTTTGTTTACAAGTATTTTTGTACCTAACATCTAATTCGGTGCATCCTGTAATAGATCATGTGCATTGGCCTGGAAATATCTCATTGTTCGTGTTTAATCCAGCTCTCAGTTAATAAGTTTTCGTCCTATCGTTTCGTATTTTTTCTAATACAATTATACTTTATTGAAGATGTTAAGTGATCTAATAAGTTACTTTAATTGAAATTAATTTAAAAATATAGAAAAAAAAATCTTATAAAATTGTGTTTGTAGTATTTATTCAAATTCAAAGCAACTTATGGATTTCTAGTGCAACCTTGGTATTCTCTGGGGGTCTGCATTCATAACATTTATTTTCTTCTGCACTGCAGGACAGTTAGAAATACAATCGACTAAGTCCTCGGCTACCCTCTTCACCAGCTGCACGAAGGCATACAGGCTTAAATTAGATGTGAAGGCCGATGACGTCAAAATTTCGACCTAAAGATATTGGGACACTCCTTGCACTCCTTCATTGCGCTTACGATCCCAATTGCCGCAAAACTCCAAAGCCGCAAAAAAAAATACTCAAAGGGCTAGCCGGAAGCACCTGGGCTAAATACCAAGAAACTTTTCTGTCAACTCACAAAGCAAATGGCCGGCCGTTTGTAAACTATGCTGTACCGATCTGGGCGCCGGCGACGAATGAGTCGCAGTCGCATGATTGCGAGAACACCGCCCTCAGGACCGCGACAGAAAACCTACTAATTTCGCCGGAGCATTACTTGCATCTATGTCAGGGAGCATAATGCTTTGCTGTGCAAGCAATCCTTATTGGGATGCTACCGTTGGGAACACCCCAATAGGCATCTTATCGAAGTCGAACCACCACCTATGCACATCAGAGAGTTAGCACTCGACATGAAGCACACCATCCAGCAATACATGCAAAACCCGCTGGACAGGACGGCGTACAGACAAGCACTGAACGCCATTCACCAGGAGTCACACCTTCAAGGACTACCTTCCAGTGAATGACGTACTCGGAGAAAAATCACCATCCATTGTAGACAACGAGCTTGAGCTGCCTCAAGAGACTCGAGTGACCGTGACACAACTCAGGTCTGGATACCGTAGCTGGTTAAACTCGTACTTATCCAGACTAGACCCCAGCATACCCAACGTATGTCCTGCATGTATAGAGTCTCCGCACGACATTAACCACCTTTTCATATGTCCTCTCAAACCAATTCATCTAACCTCCCTCTCCCTTTGGTCCAACCCCGTCGAAACAGCTCGTTTCCTGGACCTTCCATTAGATGGCCTCGGCACCTTAGATTGATCAAACCTGTGCCTAAGCACAACAACAACAACGGTGTACATACAGGCAGTGAACTTCATTCACCTGCAGTCAGTCAACACCTTCAAAGACTGGCGTGCTCGAAGAAAAACCACCACCCATTGCAGACAATGAGCTTGAGCTGCCTCAAGAGACTCGCGTGACCTTGGCACAACTAAGGTCAGGATACTGCAGTAGGTTAAGCTCCTACCTATCCAGACTAGAACTTATTGTGTATAGATCTATGATGGCTTTCCTGGATAAGTAGAGTTGAGTTTACTAAGGTATCTAGGTCTATTTTATGCCAGTATTACGCCGTCCTCACGAGGCAGCTTGAGTTGCTTGCCTACTATCAGTGGTGGTGGGAATCTAATGAAGCCATTCACTAGAAGAGAGCTATTGAGGATGTTGACTGACTCTGTGTAAAAGGAATTTCAGGCCTGTCGGTCCTTTCTATCTAGATAATCATTGATCGGACTTTATCATGGTCAACTTTATTACTGGCTTCTGCGAAACATGAATGGTATGTAAATAAGAGATCAATGCGACATCCAGGCTCTAAAGGACCAGTAATAGCTCGAGAAGTTTTACTTCTTCCACTGGAAGGAAGTTGCCGTACAGGGAGGTGTATGTATATTACGTAATCAGTCTTGAAACTGCTATGGCGATATCGACCTCCAGCGTTTTCATCCTTTTTGAATTTCAAGGCTCGATCTTCCAAAAAGCTCAATGGCAATATTGTTCCATATTAATCTTCATGAGAGCCGACCGATAACAGTCCAACTCGAACTCAAAAAACAATTCACCACAGCCACATTCCTTACACTGAATATTTCAATTTGAACAACCCATTTCTAAGCTGTCAATTACTTAGAAGAAAAATAAAATTCCATAAAATTGCTTTTATTATTAATAAATTATAATAAAAAATCGAAAAATATTAAAAAATACAAAATTCAAAAGTTCTTGTAAATGAAATGAATCAGGATAATAAACTCGGAGGAAATGACTGTGGTATTTGCTGTGCGCCAACATGTCCACCGCGGGAACGGCCGCCAATACCGTCAATGTAAGCGACAGTTCGGTTGAGTTTCACGAATCAAAGCTCTAACATATGCTTATGTATGTGTGTGTGTTTGTTTGTTTGTTCTTTTAGTGGTAAGCCCTTTGAGGCACCATGCACGTCGACTTGTCTGTGCGGACCGAAAATGTGTAGCATCTTTGGTGGGCACGACTATAATGCGCCCGGACCAGACCCCAAGGCTTGCAGTCCACGTAAGTGTGTGCACCTTAACGTCCAGTTCGTCTTCAACTTACCACCGCTAAGACATCATTCCCCCGCTCTATTTTAGGCAAGTTGAAAAACACGTCCAACGTCAATAGTTTAGGTGCGCCGGTGGGTGTTTTGACGGCCACCATCGCTATGAAATCGAACACGCCGGATGTACATCCACATCGTTATGCCACATCCTTAATCGCATTTATGAAAGTGTACACTACGCCGGAGCACGAGTGGACAGAGGAAACTTTAGATGGACTGTTGAAGGAAGGTCAAGTGTTGTTGGCGAAACCCGCAGATCCGCAGTACACTGTGGACTCACCGCTACATATCTATTCACCATTGGAGGCGAAAGTCAAGCGTTGGCATAAAGTGGATGATGTGTCCTTTCAATTGGAGTTGGGTGAAAAATATTATGTTGCACCGCCCGCCATCACCGAAGAGGGACCACCACCCGACATGACTATGGATACATTTAGAGCTGCCATGAAGAAATTCTTTACGAAACACAGATTTTGTCTGATCAAAGTTGCCGGCACTTACAAGATGGTTTGGCGCTCACGTGGCGTCTATTTCGTGCTGGATTTGTACGGTCGCAAGCCGGAAGATTTAGAAACGGACAAAGAGCATGGCAAAGTCATGTTGATATGCTTGAAAGCGCTTGATAATGTTGTATATTTGATAAATAATTTATCGGGTATACAACCTACGGATCCGTTTAATATGCGTGAGTTGAAAGTGGTTAAGATGACGGGCACAGATGGCAAGACCATGAGCCGTGACTTTGGCAAGCGTGAGCACCAATATCAGGTGATTAGCGAGGAGTATGCCGTATTAAAGGGCGAAACGCACCTACTACGCAACAGCTCCGATCCGATACGCACGCGCAGCGCACTACCAGTAGGCGTGGCGGCATTGCTGGCGGCCAAAATCGATCATCCGGCAACGTGGAATGAGAGAATGGTCGAAAAAATTATTTGCTATGGCGTGAATGTGTGCGTTTGCTGTTGGGAGCAATGTCTGCAGGCGAAGGAGCCCATAGACATTGAGCGCTTCCCGAATCGTCTTAAGATTGCTCAGTTCAAGGCTAGATATACTTTAATACCACGTAAGTTTACCGGCATCTGGAAGTGTGTGCCGAACTTCAAGCAAACCGAATTGGAGGCTGCGCTGATTACCAGCTTCGAGGCGGGTGACAATAACTTGCTCGTCCAAATTGATCAGAATATCTACGCTATCTTCAAGAAGAACAATTTCTTTTACTTGTTTGATCCATATCGCCATCGCATTGATGGCTTGCCCATTCCTTCCGGAGAGGAGAATGCGGTCGTCAAGAGATATTCAACACTGCGCATGTTTCGCTCGTTGGAGACATTTTTGAAGGTCTTTACACAGATGCTCTTGGAGACGAATAGCACCACACAGTTTGCCATACACACACTCAAAATCAATAATATTGAATTGTCGGTAAAAGAGACAGGTCCAGCGCAAGACGAACCGATACTGAATGAAGATTTCGAAGTTAAGTCGTTAAATGAGACTTTGTGCTTTGAGGAGGACGAAACGAAGTGTAAACTTGATTTGGGCGGAGAAGATGAGGATGAGGAAGATGTTACATCTGGTATTGTACAGATGGAAATGCCCGAGAGAAGTGAAACTGAAGAGTCTGAGGAGGAGCTGGAGGAGGAAGAAGGTGGCTTAGAAGATCTGGGCGAGTATGAATCGTCATCAAGTGGTGATGGTCATCGACATGGTAAGGGTAGAAGAAAGCGAAGCAAAGGTCGCAAGCGAGGTGGTCGTAAAGACGGCGGTGGCGGTGGAGGTAAAGGCAAGAAAAAAAGTGGTAAGGGCAAGGGTAAGAAAGGCAAAGCCAAAGGTGATAAGACAGACAAACTAAAGAAAGGCAAAAAGAAGAAGGGCGACAAATCTGAGAAAAGTAAGAAGGATAAAGATAAAAAGGATAGAGAAAACAAAGATAAAAAGAAAAAGGGCAAGAAAGGAAAAGATGAATCCGACGCAGAAAAAGATAAGAAGAAAAGCGACAAAGATCAGGATAAAAGCAAAGAAAAATCCGATAAAGAGAAGAGTGACAAGGACAAAGCTGAGAAGGATAGATTGGATAAAGAGAAAGCAGAGAAAGATAAAGCCGATAAAGAAAAGTCAGATATGGACAAAGACAAGGATAAAGAGAAAGCTGACAAAGATAAAGACAAGGACAAGGACAAGGATAAAGACAAAGGCCAAGTTAGAGAAAGCGACATTTTGCGCGGCGACTCTACAAAAAGGGGCGACGAAGATCGGCGGAAACACGCTGAGGGCAGTCAAACCGGTACAGATAGAGACGGACGTTATGAACGCGGTGATCGTGAGACTGGCGACAGACGTGGTAGTCGCGATGGTCGTGATGGACGCCATAGACCGGGTGCTGCTGATGATCGTTCATCTTTCGGTCGAACAGGTTCGAGTTGTGGCGACGAGCGTAGAGACCGCGACATCTACCCGCTACTCACATGCAAACCCAACGATTATCCTGGATATTCCAGCGTGGCCTACGATATGGCAGTTGTCGGCTCAGAGAGTGGCACTTATGAGAGTATCTGCAAGTTATTACGTGCGGGCTTCAAATGTGCCGATCGCATACTCACAATGACACCATGGGGCAATTATGTCGCCTTTCGTGGACGTGCCTGCCGTCAACGTATCTATTTCCTTTTCGACGGTTGTACATGTAATGTGAATCGTTTTCGACATCTCGATCTCAATTGCGGTACGGCGGGTCTTTTAGATTTTGATCATATACGTGATCTCGTTTGCTACATACTCGACTCACGTAGGATACGCAGTAATTTGAAGAAGAGTCGTAAGAAATTGGTTGACGAAATTTGTCGGCAGTATTGCTAATTTAGAAATTCAAAAATGCCCAGTGAATTACGAGAGTTTGAAGTGAAATAAAAGACAAAAAAAGAGCATAAAAATAAAAAGTAAATATTTTATCTCAATGTTCTACGATAAATATATATATGTATGCATATTTGTTTTTTATATAAATATATTATAAATAAAAAATGTTTTGTACTTAATAAATAAAAAAACTGAATTTTGTATGTATTTTTGACTGCGGCCGCTAAAGCCAAGTGGTTAGGACTGTGTACCAACATTCGGAAGGGTTCGAGTACTAGTTCCACCATCATCCAAAATCATAGACTAACTGTGGTCATCTCTCCGCAAAGAGTGTCAAGCTCTTCGAGTGTTTTTCTGGCTCCTCCTGAGAATCCATTGGTTATGCCGAACCGGCTTAGAATAAACTGTAGGTCTCCCCATTTGTTGGGAGAACATCAAGAAGCACACCACAAATTACGAAGCGCCAATTGCATATATATTTGACTATTTATCAGTTATGAAAACTTACCCAAATGAGTTATCCTATGGACCTCAGTTTGGTTAGTTCGCAGGAAAATTATTCTTTCCAAGGAAACTTGAAGCGACGTCGAAACCAGTGAATCTTGAATTGGCAGAATATTTGGACTTTCTTCCCTAAAGCACGCATGAGAATTGATCCGACGAAAAATAAAAATTAGGGGATTTCCTGGCTATATTGCTTTTTTTTTTGTGGTTCGAACCTTGCAATAGTCGGATGTTCAGTTTAATTGGCGATTATTTGAATCTTTATTAAGCTAATTGGAAAAAATTCCTCCAATAATCACACAGTTTGACTTCTCTGTCTGTAAATGCATCCCGCTTCCCTCCCCAAGTAATAATTTTGCTATGTCGAGTGCACCGAGGGAGTAAGTCGAACAGAAAATCAACCAAGTGTCTGTTAAAAGCACTGTCGCATATAATATGATCCGAGTCGACATAAGAGTCTCGGAGGAGCAACCAACTCTAGATGCATATCTTCCATATATATTATATATAACCACATCTCGGGCCACATGACAGTCGCAATGCCAGAGTGGATAGCAGTGCGTAGCGTCATACGGACGGCCAGGGTTCGAGTCTTGGTCCGTTCCAATGAATGTCAGACCCTCCGATTGCATTTCTGACATGAAATGAAAATTCCATTGACAGTTTTTAAGTTATGGATCGCCAGCCCCGTCCGCAATCTTGAAAGTCGGGGGGGTTTACTTGCAGCAGTCTTGCAGTATGTACAAATGGATCAAATAGAATAAGACGGCGAAAGCGAGTATCATATTTGAGATCTTCCGAGAACACTCCCCCCCTTCATATAGACTAAAGTGGTCTTCATGTGACGGAAATAGTTACAAGTAGTGTCATAAGCTGTACTAAAAATTGTCAAGATTTAGTAATTGAATACTGAGGAGTCAACAAAAATAGAATCTGTGGCTCTCTTGTGAGCGGCTATGTAAAAGCAGGGCATCGATAGAATTTCCAGATCAAGTCCGAGGACTCGTCCATAAAAGTTGAGGAGGGAGAGGTTCAAACTGCTGGTGTAATGAAGGATGAATCAATGAGGGTTGCTGCCAATTTGCCTCATGCATTTCATAAAAAAATTTAACTCGTGCTGCATAATTTGCTGAAAGAGCGACATGACAAAGTCGTGGAAAACAAGAACAGCTCGAGGTAACATAGTATAAATTTCAAAATGTAATAAATGAAATAGAAAGCCATCTCCGGAATTCCTAGCTGAGTCTCTCACCTAATGTTCTAAGAGTCAAAACACCATCCCACGATACTGCTGGCTTGTTTGTACCACTGACAGGAGCTATATTGGTAGATCCTTTAAGTGTTACGCTTGCTTGAGAAGGGAAATTATTTGATATCAATGCGTACCGGGGAAAGAATTCACAGTATCATGCATAAAAGACGAATCTTTCAAATAAAATTATCAAACGGCTATCAGAGGCATAAAGCAGTTCAACAAAAGCTTGCCCCACATTTAACTAATAGAAAAAGCTTTAAAGAATATCTTCATAAGTGAAAGGTCCACAGATTGCTGAACCGAATATATGACACAAATACAAACTGAAAGACATCGGTCATACAAATGGTAAGCTGAAACCACGTATGCCCAAACTCAAAAAATGTCCTCGCTCTTGAGTAGACCAGCTCATGTATAAAGCAACTAGTGCGGAGATGGCAAATGCAGACGTGCTGAAATAGATATTGAAAATGCTGAAATCAATTGAGAAGAAAACATTTACTGATGTAATCGCCAAAAAGGTCAGTGCTGAGAAGTGCTGCAACTGTGAAGAATCAAGAAACTTCCCAAATGACTGTAAGCGGTCTTCCATCAAAGAAGAAGGGGTTCAACACATTCTATTATTCCAACTAATTCGATCACCAAGGAAGTAAGTCCATTACTTAGAGCCAAGACTGAGAACAGCAACTGGTGAGTAGATCTATTGTAGATTGCAGCAGCAGTAACGTCTAAAGTCGTAATGGGAAATATGGAAGTTCATAGTAGCAGACATTACCAGGAAAGGTATAGTTGATGTGTACTTTCTCGTTTGTCTTCAGATGGGTAAGGATCGCGGAGTGTAGCAATTCGGAAGCATCGATTTTCCCATAAAGCAGTAAGCAGGTAATCCAAGGAAAAAACGAGCATCTAAAAGAAATTGCACACGAAAATGCTATTGACATGTCTTGTCGCCTTTATAGCTTGGAATGCATTACCGGGCAACTGATAAGAAAATACTTCTTTTAATATAGTAAAAAGTAATCCAATTCTTTTTGCATTACATTGAAGGCTTTTTTTTGGCTTTGGTTAGAGTTATCTGATTTGTTCGCTCGCTATCTTTTTGCCATTTTGAAGGTAATGACATTATACCTCTCTCATAGAAACCCTGGTCCCTATTGGCTAAACATTAGAACAATCGATTTTCACAGTCTTCTCTTGAGGCCAATTTTTCACTAGCCCAATCATACGCCATAAACAGGAACAGTTGGTGCGAGGTCCGAGTTATAAGGTGGAAGCAAAGGAACCTCCCAACCAAGCTCTCGGAGCATCTCGTGAGTAACTATCGATTTGATTGAGCTAGTGTTGTTCGAATGAAACACACTTCCTCACCTGCTGACCAAAGCTGGACACTTCTGTCCGATTACTTCCTCCAATCGGTCTAATTGCTAACAGTAGAAACCCATATTAAGAGTTTGACCATAGGGTAGCAGCTCTTATATATGATTCCTTTTAAATCCCACCTTCGAAAAAGGGATCTGTCAGTTTTATCCGACATCCGTTGCTAATAATGAAGTAAATTATTAGTTATTAAAATTCCAAAACTTATTTTGAGGCTTAAAATTTTGATGTGTAAAAAAAATTCCCTCTTTGATGTGAAAAAAATTCCCCTCTAAACACACCCCAAAACCTTGCCCTGGCCGCCAATCCTTGCTGGGAAACCGTTTGTACCGGCTCACTGTCCCCTTAACTCAGACCATTTTCATATGACGCTGTTGTAAGTGATCTACATCTTCATCACCAGTCCGTTCGTTTCAGAAATGGCTCGATCTTATTACGAATTACCAGCGATTCGCAGGTGAAAGGTTTTACTTGTTGACTCATTTGCACGAATTACTTTGTGTACCCCGCCATTTTCAGCTGATTCCCAACTGGTTTTTGTGCGATGTTTAGCTCTTAGGCAATGGAAAAAGTGCTCGTCGCATAACGGTCAGACTCGAAAATTTCCATTATTTTATCGACATTTTCGTCAACTGGCTTTCCACACTTCCACTTAATTACCGGAACGAGATCCACGAAACAAGAATTGCGCATTACTGACTGTTACAGCCTCAGGATCAAAAACACTATTCCCATTTTTAGCTGCCATTATCTCTTTTTAGTACAAAATACCATCTTTCTAACACCACCAAGCGGCCGCGGTAGCCGAGTGGTTAGCATTGCACACTGCCATTCGGAAGACTCGGATTGACCAGTATTTGAACTATACGTACTAACATCCAAGAACTTAGAGAAAATTAATTTAAATAAAAAATTTGTTTTCTAATTGTGGTCGCCCCACGGCAATGGAATATCAACCCCTCCGAGTGTATTTATGACATTAAATAAAGGCTCCTCGTAAAAAACTGTCAGCCGTTCGGAGGCGGCTTAGTATAAACTGTAGCTTCCTCCATTTGTTGGAAAAACATCAAGTCGCAAAAGCAAAAATTGGAGTGGGAGCTCGGCCGAAAATCGCTTACAGCTATAATATATTTATATATATATATCTAGAGAGAGAGAGAGAGAGAGAGAGAGAGAGAGAGAGAGAGAGAGAGCGAGATACAGATCACTGAAGCCATCTACGCAATTATAAGAGCTTTCTTTCGACTAAACCTAATATTTAATAAAATAACCAGATAAATTGACAGAGAACAAACTTCTCACCATTGCATCGTGCTAAAGAAGCGCAGGACGTGGCAGCACCCGATGAGTCGGTTTTAAGAATCTTCGAGAGAAAGATTTTGCGGAACAGCCAGTGAAGCCCACGAAGAACCTATCATCCATATGAACGAAATTACGCCGGCTAGCAGATGAAGCGGAATCTGGCTTCACTTGGTCTCCCAATTAACGTCGAACAGCGAAGAGAATAAACGACTGGCGCGCTATTTGTTGATTCGGCTATTATCACGTAAGTGGTGCCTACGCCAGAGAAATAAATTGGTTTTCTTGAAAAAAAAAAAAAAAATTGTTTTCAGATAATAATTCAGAAATTTTTATTTTATAAAAAAATAAATTTGGGTAAAAAGAAATGAAACAAATTTGGTTGCATATTTTCGTTGAACTCTTATAGTTTTAATTTTTATTTTATATTATTATATAATATACATAATAAGTTTGTATGTAGTATTTATGTACATACACTTTTAATATATTTTTTATGTATGTATATATGTATGAGTGCACTTATGTATTAATGTATGTATATATGTATGTATTTATGCTTATATATTATATTTTTTTTATATAAGTGAGTATGAATGTATGTTTGTCTGCTTGTTTGTTTGTTTGTATGCATATTATGTTTG